CACACACAAACACACAAACATACTAGCGTAAACATTTACACATTCGATATACGGTTTTTTTTCGTTAGCGAAAAGAACTCAAACGATCGAAAATGCGAATCGCTTTTAGATATTCTTAGATCCTTACTTTTTGATATATCCCCCCGCGGCACTGATGATGCGTGGATATTTTCATTTTTACAGTATTTATCTGGATAGGATCATATTTTTCTTTTTTTTTTTTTTTTTGATTTGTGTTTAAATGTTGATAAGTCACATTGACGAAATTATCCACGGTTTTATATCGTTTACCATCATCGTTGATTTTTCATTTCCCAGATAAATGTCAAAACCAAATACAATGTTTGAAAAGACAATCATCAATGGCAACATTGAAATTGATTCCAAATAAAAAAAAAGTTTGTTTTCTTCCAAGGGTTCCATCTTTTAATTACCGATTTGGACAATCTTTTTATAAAGATTCCACATGCACACATTTTATCGACTTGCCAATGTTAAATGTCAAGAATGTGGAATGATATTTTCTGCTGAAAGTTGTTTTTATTTTGCTTTTTTTTCGTTTTATGGGTATTAATTAAAAGGCAACTAATGAGCAGCTTTTCAAATCCGGTAAATACAAAAACATCTTTTTTTTCTCTTATGGATGTGTTTGAAATCATTGAACAAATGAATTCTTGCCGCCCCCCCAATTCGTTGTCGACACCTGGTCTTGTTTTTTTTGTTGTTGTTGTTGTTGCCATTCTGTATTTTATAGACATACATTCAACTGATAGCTGTCTTTATTTCTTATTTCTTTGAAATCTTTGAGCTCATTGTGTGTATTGTGTGTCTAAATAATTAACGATTTGTAAATTGAAAAGTTTTGTTTTTCTCTCTTTCTTTTTTTTTTCATTCACCAATCTTTACAGCCTTCATCATCAAGCAAAAAGATTCTCTTTATAGTGAGAACTAGAGAAGGCTAATAATAATTTTTTTTTCACCATCATCCGGTTGATTTGTGAATTCGTTTTTTTTTTGAAAATTTTCCCTTTTGATTATTCGATATATATTGATAAAGATTGGTCTATCTGTCTGTGATGATTATATCCATCTCATCAGTATCAATCTATCTGTCGTCACTATTGTCATAATCGTTTTGTTGTTGTTATGTAATATAAATGTCTTTATGTGTGATTATTATCAACATACAAACACACACACATTGAAATATATTTAGTATGTGTTTTTTTTGTGTGTCAAGATTAATGGCTCCCATAATTTCGGGAGCACGACGGCAACAACGAGACTATAGCCGCCGTCATCATCATCATCATATATGTTAGTCTATATGTGTTTGTGTATATATCCAATGTCTGTTGTTGTTGTTGTTGCCGGTTTGTTGAATAAATGAAAGCCCATAACCCGGGATTTTCCCGTCTAGTCTATATTTATGTTATTTGGTGTTTTTTTTCGAGGACACACACACACATTCTTTTTTTTTCTATTTCATGTATGTATTCAATTCGGATAAAGACAGCAAACAACATAGAGAATGAAATAAAGCGAAAAAGAAAAGCAAAAAATGAGCTGTATCTGTAAACAAACAAAAAAAAAACGGCGGCTACTATTTGCACACACACACACAAACAATTGGTGTTGATTTAATTACCCGGGATGAATAATTAGCTCATCATCATCATCATCATTATAGCCATTACCATCGTTGATGAATGATAAAATAAATGCCATGTCTCTGTGTCAGTAGTGTCTATGTCTAGTAATAGATTTGTGCACAAATATCTTTTACGGATTCTTTGTTTGTGGAATTTATTATAAATCAATGATCAAGATTAACCAGATGACATTTTTTTTGTTGTTGTTTTGAATAAAAATTGTGATGATTTCATTTATGAAAGCATATTGAAATTTATCCTGATTACTTCATTATTAATGATTTTTTTATCAAATTTTTTTTCATAAAATTTCTTTCCGAATCATAACGGAAATGGTTCTGGTTACTTTTTTCTTCGTTTTTTTTTTTTGGTGTTTTTTTCTGGTTATGGTGACGATTAGATTTTCTTTTTTTCTCTCTCGTCAATTTTCGTTGCATTTGAAGTGTGAGAGACAGCATTCTTGTTGAATTTTGTTTGATTCATTCTTGTTTTTGCTTCTTTTTTTCTGATGGATATTAATTGGTTGATCATTGCAAGAAGAAAATTCTATTCCATTTGTTACCCAATGGATGCTCATCAACATCATCATCATCATCATCATCATCATTGGTGGCAGTCTTATATAATAATTTTCATATGCATATTTTTAATAATAATAAACGATTTTAATGATGATTATTTGCTTTCCTTTTCTCTTTGCTTTTTTTCTGGGGTTTCGGAAGTTTCAAGCTAACGTTTTGAAATAATAATAATAATCATCATCAAAGGGAGAGAGAGAATTCTTTGTAAGACAAAATTGACAAGTTTTTTTTTTGCTTTTTTTCAGAAAAAAAAGAAATGAGTATGTAGAAACAACAACAACAATCTTGATGTTTGAATGAAAATGAAACGCATATAGATATATTTTAATGGATGTGTTTTAAATTAAATTTTTTCGTTTCTCCTCTTTCCCGTCATATATCCAAGGCATTGATTCTTTTATTTTTTTTTTTTTTGCTCTAATAAGATCTGTGGATGAGTTTTTTTTCGTATACAATTTAAATTGTCATCACCAAATGCGTTTTTTTTCCTTTATTTTTTCTTTTTGTCATTGCTTTTTTTGCCTCAAAACGACAATGACAAACATAGGCAATTGTGTAATGATGATGATCGCCATCATCATGACTGTGATGATGATGATGATTATGATATTCCTGTTTCAATCTTGTTTGCTTGTCATTGGTGATTATTATTTTTATTATAGAAACATAGTCACATCAGACACATCATCATCATCATAATCATTGATGATGATGATGATGTGATCCACATCAACAGAACAGAGTATAGAATTGAGAAAAACCAATTGAAACAAACGAGAAAAGAAAGCCATATGGATCGCAAGAGAATATAATCACCACCACCACCACCACCACAACCATTTTTGATATTTTCAATCTTTTTTTTTTAGCCATCAGCAATCGGTAGTTTTTTCATTTTCTCCGTTATTGTTGGTTATTAGCACACTTGTCTAATATGTCTATCTTTTTTGTTTCAAATGAATAAATGATAGTTCCATGATATTTTTATCCTTTTTTTTCTCCACAGATACCAGATTTTTTTTCTGGTCTGTCCGGTTTTTATTTTTGCTTTTGTTGTTGATTTTTCTATATTGAAATCCACAAACATCTTCTTGTTTGAGTGGTGTGTGTGTGTGTGTGTGTTTGTTACTAATGATGATTAGCACTAACACGCAGCAGTAATGCATTTTTGTGTTAGAACGATTAGATTCAAGATTCAAACGAATATTATTAGTTGATAGAGAGAAACGAACAAAAAAAAACACTCAAATATCTTCAATAGAACTTAAATGGATAATAGAAAAAAAACCCAAAAAATCAGATGTATCAGAGCCGTGTTGTTGTTGATGATGATGATGATGGTGATGATAATAATAACTGTCCTTCTGTATTGTATGTATAATGATACTTTTTACTATTGTAAAATGATGCAAACCGTTCTATATGTATATATATGTGTACGTGTGTGTATTTGGTTGTTGTTACAATTTGTTATTTCAGTGGTCTGTTTTGGTGCCAACATATTAAAGAATAAGAATCTTCTTTCTCTATATACATTAATGTATGTGTTGATGATATATAAGTAAGAAGTGAAAATGAAGTGACACTAATGACAGTTTTTTTTTCTTTCAATGATGATCATCCTAATGATGATGATGATGATGATGATGATGATGACGACGATTCCAAGCTTATTCACTAACTAGTACATCACACACTCAAACATACAACAATTACGAATAAATCAAACAAATCTATCCACCACACACACACTAATATGTTGTTTGGTTGATAAAACCCGATGATGATAACTTTTCAACAGAAAAAAAAGAAAAAGAAAAAAGAATACGATACAAGAATTTGAGTATCGAACACGATCGTATTCGTATGAACCGCTTCAATATGATCACTTTTCATAGCCGATTATATAATGATCTTACACATTTTTTTTTTTCAATCTGTCTCCATTTATTGTTGTCGTTGTCGATTATCTCTCGTTTGTTGTCTTATTACTTTACCGCCTTTAGTTTATTTACTTTTTCATTTTGTCTCTTCTGTTATTGTTGTTGTTGTTGTGGTTGTTGTTGTTGTTGTTGTTTTTTTAAGAAACACACACACACACACACAGAAACACTTTGATCATAAGAGCCGGCAATTTTGATTGTTGCCGATTTTTTTCAATTGATTCGATTTCAATTGTTGAAATCAAAGATCATGAAGCCTGTTTGTTAAGAAAAACAACAACAAAAAAAATTGAAAATAAAAAAATTTATTGAAATTTTTCATCGCATTAATTTAAAATAAATTTAAAATTTTCGAATTTTGATTTTATTTTTTTGAAAATTTCATTTAACAACAAATGAAAATCGAATCGAAAATTTAAAACGATGAAATATCAATTGATGATTATCGAAAAAAAAATCAATATTAAATATTTTCTCACAAAGATTAGATGCATATTTGATTATCCGATTCTATTTTTGTTTTATCGGTTCAATTTTTTTTTACAATTTCTACACGTTAATCATCATGATATTAAAAATTAAATTGGTTTCATCTAAATAATAATGATGGTAAAATTTTTTTTTTTTTGTTGTCCAAATGATGCAAAAAAATCATTGTAGCAAAATAGTTGGCCGATAGATGGCAATACTTGTTCGATCATTTTTTTCTTGTTTCTCATCAATCAAAATATTCTGTTACATCTCCTATTCTACTATTATATATTCATTAAGACGCTTGTATTGAATTAATGTCATTCTTTTTTATTCTGTTTTTATATTTGTAGCTCGAAACACGTTACCCATTCATTGTATAATTGAACGAATGAATAGCACAATATCGACCAATGGATCATCATCGGGTCAACAACATCAACAACAACAACAAGTAACCGGATCTGGATCTTGCCATCAACAATCAACTTCATCATCATCATCAACACCACCACCATTAAATGTTAATATTTCAAATCAATCGAATACAAACGATCTCTCTCAGATGACCAATCCAACATCGACAACCACAACTAGCTTATCTGTTTCCGCATCCAATACTTCAACAACGGCAGGAAACTTATCGAATTCATCAACATCATCATCATCATCAACACTTGCAGCCGGGACTATAATAGAACAGGATACCTATGCTATTCTACCATCAACCATTCCATATGCGGATATAATACGAGCCGTACTTACTAAACTGGGATATGCATCACAAGAAATGGTTGGCGCCAAAGGTAGATGACCATTTTCTTTTTCTTTTTTTTTTCATAAATATTTTCATCATACATAATCATAATCATAACCATAATTATTGTTGGTTTCAAAACATTTCGTTTATTCATTTCTTCATTATTTGCATTAGTTCATATAATCATTAAGTTTTCGTGAATAAAAAAAAAATGTACCATAATCAATACTAACTGATGATGATGATGATGATGATGAAAAGTTATTGCTTTAATTATCTTGGCTTTTAAATCAGGCTTTTTTTTGGCAAAGTTCATTTTAGTCTGCTGATTATATATTCTCTTCAAATTACATTTGACTGAATGACTATGAATTTATTGATCATCATTGTCATAGTTTACCTAATTGTGTATTTTTTTTCAACTATTAGATTCCTAATAGCAACATATTTATTCACCACAAACAAAAGATATTTCTAGCTTTTAATGTAAGATCATCTATCAGTCAGTCAGTCAGTATATATTGATGATGATGATGATGATGATGATGACTGTTTTTATTGTTGTTGTTCAAATAAACTAAAAAAAAATTCACATTCAATGAATGGATCATTTTTTGTGATTCATTTTCCATTTTCTTATATATTCAGATGATTGACATCAATATGATACAGATGTATATATAGTTAGAGAGATCTTTTATTAATGAAACAAATATAAAATGAAAATGTCGAAACAAAACATTTTTTATCCATTCATCATCATAAAAAAAATTATATATTATGTTATGTCATGTGTGTGTGTGAAAGAAAAAAGAGTGAGTAAAACAAATATCGATTCGAATAAATGAATGAATGAATGCAATGAATGCAATGAAATGCAATGGCAATTGGTTGATCACACGTGACCAAATAATATGTCGTCTATATATATATGTTTATTTTGGAACCGTTTTGCTTGTTGTTGTTGTTGTTCCATCCTAGCATAAAATGATCTTTTTCTTTTTTTTTCTTTGAAGTTTGATGATAATGATGATGATTCTCTTACAGACCATTACCTCGGATGAAGATGACGATGGCAGCGGCGACAGCAACCTATTATATACAACAATAAAAAAAGAAAAAATATATATTCTAGTCGGCTAATTACGAGCCGAGAAAAAAAAATATATTCCCTAACACAGAATATGTAATATATATATAGAGTATACGGGCCAATTTAAACACATGGCCCACTTGTTCATCATAATAAGCTCACTTTATATATTTTTTGTCTCATTTTATTTTTTTTTTTTTTTGCTTTGAATCATTTCATCATCATTGTTCAATGTATGACAAGAAGCATATTTTCTGTTTTTATATTTCATATCCAAAACCATTTGTCTCTCTCTCTCTCTCTTGTTCACCGTTTAAAACATTCATTGAATTGAAGCCATTATTAATAAATTCATCATCATCATCATCATCATTCCTTCATCATTGTATTGTGCCAATTTTTTTTTCTTTTTTTGCCATATTTTCACCAAACCGGGATCTATTATCTATCCTGTCCACAGTTTCTATCCCCTCTTTTTTTCTGCCATGACAGAAAAAAAATAGCAAAGCAAAAAAAAAACTCAAATCGATTTAATTTTTTTCCACATAAAGAATTTCGAATAATGAATCATAATCAGCATCATCATCATCATCATCATCAACTAAATACAAATGAATAGAATGTGAGCCTTAAGAATCTATAATATTCTTGACTTTAACTTTTCGTTTCGAACTAACATTCTGTCCAATCAGAAACAAGAGAAGGGGTGGGAATGTGGATAGAAAACAAGCAGATAAATGACAGATATAATAAATAAAGGAAACGAAGCTAACTTTTTTCTCTATTATTTTTCAACTTTTATTTCCTTTTTTTTATTTATATATGACTGTAAGAATATGTGTGTAAGTGCAAGAGAAAGCTCCTAATCAGAATTTGAGTTGCGGCTTTTTTCTCTCCCTTTCCTATGTGTGTGTATCGGCAGTTTTGAGTCAAGTCATTGTTATTCAAATAAGAATCTACTGAATGACAAGTTGAAATTTTTTTTTATTCTTCCAAGTTTTTTTTTCTCAAAAAGTTAGAATCATAAACCATATGCGTAGTTATATTCTTAAGCACTATATTTTGAGTGACTTAATTTTCGATTGAAAACTGTAATTAACCGCTTTTTTTCTGCTTCACCTTGGGTTTTTTAATTGTTACGAAATTTCGATTCATTTCGGTTTTCATCTAGTGAATGAGATATCTCTCTCTCTCTCTCTCATATAATCGAGAATGTGAACTATTACCATGTAGATTTGACAGCCATTATTAATGTGATAATAATTGCTACTCGAAATTTATTTTTTATTCTTTGGCACAAAACAATTCTTAAAGTTGATTCTTGACGAAGTGAATTGTAATCGAAAATCAAGATCGATTAACTCAAGTTAGAAATTCTTTTCCCCTCTTAAACTAGGTTTACTAACTATTATTAATGTGAAAAAATTCGATCCATGTTTGTTGCCGCAATACTGAATGATAAAATCGAAAAAAAAAATTAGTGTACAGAATTCACCTGGTCCATTGAAAAAAATGAAATGTGTACTGACGTGTTGATCTTGGTCTTGTTGAAATCCAATGAATTGAATTGAATTGAATTGAATAAAAGACAAAAAACATGTGTAACTCAGAGAAAAGCAACCAAATTCTACAAAAAAAAACTTTAACATGAGAAAGAATCATTTCAACATAGCAAACAGAAAAGAAGGTAAAATGAAAGACAAAAGACAAATAGAACAAATCACAGATGGAGGTGAATTTTTCTCATCACTTTGATTTCGTTGTTTTCTTTGAGAGCGGAAGATAGAATATTCTCTATTCTGAATGACTATTATTGTTATTATTATTATTATTATTATTAGAAGCCTATGATGATGACGATGATGACGACGACGACGGTCATGATATTACAATCACTATACTCAATATTCTGACTTTATTTTTTCTAATGAGACTTGGATTTTTTTCTCTCGTTTTTTTCTTCCTTTCTTTATTCTTTCAATGATTTTTTTCTGAAACAAATTCGAATCAAGCGATGCCCAAAAAATCGAGGAAAAAACAAAGACCAAATGAAACGAAAAATTGAGATGTGGAAATGAAAAGAAAAAAAAAGAATAAAGAATGATTATAAAAGACAAACCAAGCAAATTTGAAACAATGAGATATCGGGAAAATACAGAAACATGGTTGGTGATGGGGGGATGAAGTCAACAAAAAAAAAGAATCACAGAACACGAAAACGAGAATTTAAACTAATTTCGTTTGCTTGCTTTATTTTATTTTTTTATATATTCTTATTCCCTCGGTCTATCGGTCGGTTGTCTGAACAATGTATTATGTATACTTTGTATATGTATTGTCCGCTTGTATTGGTTGCACTCCACCACAAAAATTCTTATTTTGCTTTCAAATTTTTAGTTTGGTCTATCTATCTGGATAATATCCCCATTCCTTCTTCTTTTTTCCCCTCAACATATAGCAAATTTTATTCTTTTCCATTCATCTATCTCCATCCATCCATCCATCCATCTATTCATTCCATTCAATTCAATTCATACATAGTTGATTCGATGTGAATACTGAAAAAAAAGAAACAAAACAAAACAAAAACGAACTTATAGAGGGAAGAAAAACGTAAAAGTGAAATCAAAATTTACTTTTTTTTTGTAACATTTCATCTTTGAATTTATCTCACTAGGGACGATTTTTTTTTCTTTGTCTCTTTCTCAAATATATCTGTAAGACATAAATGAAGAAACGAATTATATTCAATGAGAAGATTCTCTCTTTCGTCATGTTAGTCCCTGTGCAAACAAATACTGAATATTCTGTATTCACAGGGGTTATGATTACGACTATATGACCATGAATGAATTTATTGGACTAAGAATAAAATTAGATAGCAATACAATTCTCATAGTCATACCACATTAAATACAACAACACACAGATACAGACAATCAGAAAGACAATTCCATGGATTCTTTGTTCGCTCATATCTCAAGATTTCGTTTGTTTGTTTGAATGGTGCTGCAAAGTCACACGCACAAACAAACAAAAAAAAATCAAGTCATCAAAATCTTGTTGATGATGATGACTAGATTTGTTTGCTAAATAATATGTTATATTCTCATCTCGTGATTGAATGAAAGAATATGAAAAATAACCGAAAGAAATTTGAGCAACCAGAAAAAAAACTGTGAACATTTTTGGTAATGTGAGATGATTTTCATTATAATATTTTTGTGAATGGGGTTTGATATTCTGTTCCAAGGACGGATATGATTATGAAGATGAAGAAAATGATGAATCCGGGATAATATTGTCCAGGATATTTAATTTTTTCAAACAATTATTCAAGTGCCATTCATATATCATCATTATTATTCATTTTGACCGGCCTCATTTTTCTCTTTTTTTCTGATTATTTTATTTTGGCAATGATATTCATTTTTTTTTTTTTTTGAATATTTTACACACTTGTAATCAACTATAGAATCCGTTCTAGTGGTCAGGTTGTATTCGAGATATATTAATTTTTTAACGATCTCAAATTTTTTTTTCTCGATTCAATATTTTCTTTTTTTTTCTAGACAACATTATACATTCACGTATCCGAATCATCATTCTTTATATATTTATATTTGTCATAGTTATATGCCCAGAGTGATTTTTATATTTCAGAAAATATGTCGCATATTGCCTGTCAAAGTTCTTAATTATTGTAGTGCTCATTGATAACTACCAGTTTTCAGTAGTGAAAAGAAAAGATTTTTTTTTTTTCTTTCTTTCATTTTTTTACATTTCCTACGATTCTAGCGATGATGGAACGGTGATGTTGATGATCAAATGCTATTGTAGATGAATTTTACATTAGGGTCTTTCTTCCCTCTTTTTTTTTATTATAAACATAAATTTTGTTTATTTCATTCTTCATTAAATTTCAACTTTGAATAGTAACAAAAAAAGATGTT